GCCCAAAGTCAAGGAGCCAGTGTTTCTGGTGTATGATGAGGGCCTCTTCCTGGCATGCAGATAGTTACCTTCTCACTGACTTCACATGGAGGAGAAAGAGCTATGACTTCTTTCTCTTCTTATAAGGATACTAATCTCATCATGGGAGCCCCACTCTCAAGAACTCCTCTAAACCTAATTATCTCCCCAAGGCCTTACTTCTAAATACCATTGCATCAGGGGTTAAGTTTTCATGTATGAATTTGGGGAAATAAAAACATTCAGTCCTCAGCAGTGTGTGTGTTACTGGCAAGAGAATCATGGGACTGGGGTGTGAAAATTTGTATAAACCAGTAGGCTATGTGCTGACTCTCTAACACAAGATTCTGCCCAAACTGTGGGGCAATCTTTCAGGGAAATTAAAAAAAAAAAAAATCACAGGAACTCAGCTATTTTACAATTATCGCTTGGTAAACATTCCTCTAGCTGGAGGCTCATAAATTATCTCAGAGGATCCCTAAGAATGATCCTGTTCAGTTCATTGGTGTTTTCTGATGATAGAATTTGGCTGGAAGGAAAGAACTTTCCTGGGATCTCCTAGCAGGAAGTGGTTATCGGCATTCAGACCTCCAGATCCTTAGCCCTCAAATTCTACTCTCCCATCAGGAGAGCTGGAGTCAGAAGAAAACAATTTAATTTAATCAGCCCTTTATTCTAAACAAGTAGCCAAAATACTTACACAAATCTCTACTAAACAGTACTTCATGACATTTCAAAATAGAAAATGGTCCACGTGTTGAGCATTTTTCATAGGTAAATATTTAGCTGATAAAATAATCCAATTTCTTTTCTTTTTTCTGTTCAGCGAGATGAGGGATTCTATCATCTTAGCAGCAGTCTACCCTTCCAGCAACTCATCAGCAGCTGACCAAGATTTGTACCTTTAGGAAAATAGATAAATGCAAAATGGCAACTTTTAAAAAATATTGGCTTTCTTTAAATTGCTTAGTGAGCATAATGAAAGAAATGCTGATTATCCATCTTGGAACAAGTTTGGGCTACAGACCAGGCTTAGACAACCTCTTATTCACCAAGTAAAACTCATAAATTTTGCAAAATTTTAAGTTAAAGCATTGAGAATAATAGAAAAAACATGCTTACACTTTATAGAGAACAGTCAAGCTTTCCTTAGAAATGACAATGCGAGCCGGGCTCGGTGGCTCAGCCTGTAATCCCGCGCCTTTGGGAGGCTGAGGTGAGTGGATTGCCTGAGCCCGCGGGTTCGAGACCCGCCTGGGCAGTGAGACCTCATCTCTACAATAAATCAAAAAATCAGCCAGGCGTGGTAGCGCGTGCCTGTAATTCCAGCTACTTGGAAGGCTGAGGCGGAAGCCCAGCAGGTCGAGGCTGCGATGGCCGGGAGCGGCCACTGCACTCCAGTCTGGGCGACAGAGTGAGACTCCAACTCAAAAAAAAAAAAAAAGGAATGACAATGCCAGGAATATAACTATAAAATAATCAGTCTCAAGTAATTTATTCACAAATGACCCTGATAAATGCTTCATGACTCTGTGCCAGAAAGTCTGAGTTTGATGAATAGGGGGAAATTGAGTTTCTTCTGTCTTTCTCCCTGGACGCCCAGGATTTGTGGAAAAACTCCAGATTAGTGCCAATCATACTTGATATCACACTAAGAGGGAATTGTCCAAAAGACTTATTGCTAGAGTCACACACTGTCTGAGCCAGGGTCTCTGCTTACAGAGACCAAGAAGGCCAATTACAGCATAGAAACCACTTTTCTATTTCTTCCTTGTTTCTGATGGGTTAATTTCCCATTAGTAAAACTGATATAATATATTCTTCTATACATTTACTAAGTTAACCACTTAGGCCAAAATTAGACTGTTCTGGAAAATATTCAGGTTGTAGTGAGTTCATTTATTTTGAGGTCTGTTCATTGGTGTGTGCCCACTAAGAACTGTTATCTCTTCCTGCTGAATTGATTATTTTATCAGTCATGATAGGAACAAAAGAATACATCTTGTCTCTAGTGATTTTCTTTCTTCTGAAGTCTATTTTATCATATATTAATATAATCACTCTGTTTTCTATTATGATTTTTTGTATGTATAGCTTTTCCATCCTTTTATTTGCAACCTACTTATGTCATTGAACTTGACGTGAGATTCTTGTAAACAGTGTAAGTTCAGTCATGGTTTTTATTCACTCTTCCAATCTCTGTTGATTAGTTTAAATTAATTATTGATATGTTAGTGTTTAAGTCTAACATTTTATTATTTGTTTTCTTTGGTTCTTGTTCCTCTGTTTTTCTTTTCTTGAGTTCCAGTGGATTAAACTTTTTAAAATAAATGTATCTTAATTTATAGTGTTATAAATCAACATCCCTTATTTTATGGTTTTTATAGTGGTTGTTCTGGGTATTGTATTAGACATACGTACTCATTGTAATCTACTGGTGTCACGATTTAAATACCTTGGGTGAAGTGTGGAAACATTACTTCTATTTAAGTCTCTTAACTTCCATTTAAAAAAAATCTTTGTCTTAAAAGATACCTGCACACATAGGTTTGTTACAGCTCTATTCACAATAGCAAAAACATGGAATCAACCATGGTGCCCACTGAAACTGGACTGGATTTAAAAAAAAAGTAATACATATATACAATAGAATATTATGCAGCCATAAAAAAGGACAAACATATGAACTCTGCACAACTTGGATGGATTTAGAGTGGATCATACTCAGTGATCCATCACAAAAATAAAGAACAGAGTATCGTATGTTCTCACTGATAAGCGAACCTTGAACAATTATCATAATACTATAAGAAAGGAATTGGCAGTAGTGGGAAACTGTCAGGGGATGGGGGTGGGGTGAGATTGACAGTTGAGGAAAACTGCCAGAGGAGGGAGGAGTACACCTCATCAACAAGGGTACCTGCATAATGAACATTTGTATACCTAACCCTGAATTGTACCCCACATCTTTAAAATAAAAATAAAAATCTTTGTCCTGAATATCAGATAGTATTTTACTTTTAGTCAGTCAAAAATGTATTTATAAAACTCATGAAGAAAAGAATAGCTTATTGTATGTGCGCAGTTTCTGGACTTCCCTTTGTTTTTTCTTCTTTCCTGATGCTTCAACATTTGTTCTTGTATCATTTACTTTCTGTTTGAAGAACCTCCTTTAGCCAATCTTTAAGGGTAAGGTCTGCAACACATTAAATGTTTAGAATGTCAAGTTTGGAGGATGAGAGGTTTCTGAGAATTCTTTCTTTCTTTTTTTCTTCCTTTCTTTCTTTGTCTATCTTTTGCCTTGTGGTTAGCTTTAATATATGCTGGCCTAGTTCTGGTTTTAATACAGATATTTGACTTAAATAACTTTTCCAGGTTACTTTGTTTCTTGTTAGATGACCCAATCCTACCTAGATAAGTCCAGGATATCAAGACATTTAATACGACAATACCACTCCAATGAATCTTATCTCATTAAGATAAACACTACAGAACTTCAGGACATACAAACCTGGCCCCAGAAAGGTGATGGAGACACCATTAGGAGAATGAGTAGGTATGACATAAACTGAAAAAATATATTGGCAATATGACAAAAGACATGTATCTATATTTAAAAAACTTCTACAAATACATAATGAAAGACAAAACCTAATATTCACAATGGACAAAAGATTTGAATATACACTTCACTATATATATTCTGTGTTTAATGGTCATATATATATATATATATATATATATATATATATATATGAATGAAAATGTTAGAACTAGTTTGGAAATGATTTGGAAGTTTCTTATAAAGTTAAACATACACTCACCATATGACCTATCAATCCCACTAATTTTCCATTCATACCCAATCCTGAATACTCGCATGCTACTTCTCCGGCTCCCATATATTCTATGCTTTTATTATCCTATTCTTACATTTTTTCTAGTCCCTTGTTTTCTATTCTCAATGGATTCTTTCTAATTAACCATAAAGAGGCTTATTTCATGTACACTCATTCTAGGAGATATATATGTAATGACGAAAGCAATTAGAATTAGATGTTTATTTTGCCAAAATAGGATGGCAATTATTTTCTTGATGATGGCTATAGATGTTAGTTATATGTCAAAGGTAACAATGAAAATGGAACATATACCAATATGTAAAAGACAGCATTTGGATTTTAAATTTTGTTTCATGGACAAATAACTCACAGCTTTCTTTAACAACAGAACAAAAATCACATCATAGTAATTTGAAAAGTTCATTTATTATATACCAATATACACTTTCTGTAATAAAAAACCTCCCAATACATCGAACCATCTTACAAATGAAATAAGAAAATAAAATTTTCATGTTTACAAATGGGTTAATCAGCACAATATACCATGTGTATGTCTGCCCTGCAGTTGATGGGAGTTTTAATTTTGAAAATGGGCCATGAGAAAAAATGGTGCTTTATTACTTGGCGCTATTGTATTGTTCTTGAATATTTATATAATTACACATGTTGGTGTTTTCAAGTTAGTCTTTTTATATGTAAAGTATTAAAAATATATACAGAGTTTACAGTTTTCAAATGTGTTTAATCTTTGATATTTACATTTAAATATGTTCAGATTAAACATTCCTTAATGTTCGGGGATAATGTTTTCCACTTTCTATTTAGATACACTTTTTAGATGAAGGAAAATAAAAATATATCTTAAAGATGTTATTTAGCATATTTTTTTAACCAAATAGCAGTAACTCAAAAGTTATGATCTTTTCTAGTAATGCTCAATTTCCATAACAAAGTGGGCTACTTTACAATATTATGCTCTAGAAAATAACACATTAAAAGTTATGTATTTTCTTAGGCACATTCCAGAAAAACTATTGAAATATAATTTAGTATGATCATACTTGTATCTTATAGTTGGTTTCACTAAAATATAAAGTATACAAGTGTTCTTACTATGATTTTAACTAACTCCAGAAATTTCAGGTAGTGAGTAGTAATCTTAAAATCCACTTTATGTAAGTACGTTACAGCAGTGAGCAAGAATGATAGTTTGTTTTTATTTGTAGTGGTAACACTTTTATTTTTATGGAGAACCACTCAACATTGTCTTAAGTGACAAATGAATGTCAGCAAACACCTGTGCAAGCTAAAATGAACTAAATCCTATTTCAGACATGCTAAATTAAAAGAACAACTTTAGGATTGATAATTATTTTCAAAAAGGACTTATTTTCTTGTAGATGATTATATTAATTGTAAACATTGAAGAAGAGCATTACTGATCTATATATAACTTAGGTTTCAAATTTAAAATGTCCCCTATAGACAGATACATACAAATGGATCTTTGAGCCCACCAACTTAATTCCCTGCCCCGCCCCCAAACATATAAATGTTTTGACTGTGAAGAGAGAAAACTACACATGTAAAAAATAAAAATCAAATGTACCATACATTAACATTCTGATGACTACAGAATAAGATTATATACATAAACATATAGCAAATCACAGTTTCCTGCACTGAATGTTTATCAAATAAAAATGTATCAAACAATACTGGGTAGTGTATCTCCACATGAATCGTGGTCTTCTAAAAATTCTGAATGAGAATGGAAGACGAGAGGGAGAGCATTGTTCAATGACAAAAGTCTGACAAGAGGACTTAGGAATAACGTTAAAAAGCAGATGCTTCCAGAACAGAGAGTTTAGCTATAAACATTATTTTTGTTGTTGTTCTACAATTTAAATAAAGCCCCTCTCTATGTTTGGTAAGATGTTTTGATATTTAGCAAAAATACATTGAATAAAGAAAGTCACTAATTCAATGTCACAGAGAGGATGGGCAAAATATTCTTTTGCAGCTGACCATGAGATGCTCTAGACTAGTGTCTGATCATTCATGTACCTTACGGGGACAGCTCACAAGACATGCCTTTTGCCTCTCTGTTAGTAAACAGACCCAGAATGTTTGGTGCAAGATTGGGAGAAGTCATTAAATGGTGATAGTTTTGCCACAAGAGCATTTTTGTTGATGTTCTAAAATATTTGGTACTTTTTTTTTGGAAATGGGAAGTGAAGAGAAGTGGGAGGAAAGGTACTATCTGATGACCATTACACACAGCTACCCTTATTCTGCTGTACAGCAGCAAAAGTAAACCTTGATCATGTCACACTGTTCTAGTAAAACCTGGGTAGAAATATGCACCACAGATTTTAAACATATAAACAGCCATTCTTGACAAAAAAGGATGATTTTCTCTTCTGCAGGTGTCTGGTGATATTACTAGTAAATGTCTTTGGAATCTTCCTGTTATTTCCTATAAATAACATTCCAATCAAGATACCTCAAATGTCTTTTGGAGCATAGCTTGCAACCATTTCCAACAGAAAAAGAAAATATTTTTCCTTGGGTTAGTGATGCTTAGAATTAGGAGGATTGTAAATCCAGTCAATTATAATGAGTGCCATGCTTCCAATCATGAAAATGATTCCAATCACAAGGAAAATTAAGGCCTGTAATTCAAAAAGAACTTGTTAGGGAACGCAGAAGCCATACTTAGCACAGTTTGTTTTTATAAGTTGTTTACCTAAGATGGCAATCTAATTTGCATATGGATTGCATTATTCTTGATAATTCAGATGCCCATGCCTAACAGATTAATCAATTTAGAATCCTAGCTGGGGTAGGAGGAGGAATAGCGTGTCAAGACATAACGCACAGCCAGGCTCGGTGGCTCAGCCTGTAATCCCGCGTCTTTGGGAGGCTGAGGTGAGTGGATTGCCTGAGCCCGCAGGTTCAAGACCCGCCTGGGCAGGTGAGACCTCATCTCTAC